TCCGGCAGCGCGGGCGCCGCTGGCAGGAGCAGCCCAGAACCGCCCCGGCTCCGGCTAACAATAGGCTCCGGCCGCAGCGCTCTGGCTCTTATAGGCGCCGGCACGTCCTGGCCGAGCCCCGGAGCAGGCTGGGAAATGGAGTCCGCGTACCGGCCCCGCGCCCAGCGGCAGGCCGGGAGTTGGAGGCGGCGAGTGCCGCAAAGCCCGGCAAGCAGGCAAACGCGCTGCAGAGGCGGCGTCGAAGTGCACCCTGCAAAAAGCAAGTTTCGTGCCACCGCAGCCTTTTGAAAGGGAAGGCAGGAGACCCTCAGCTGCACATCTTCAGTGACTAATCGAATTCTCCTCTAAAGCTCTTTTCCTTTCTCCGTGATCATGCTCCCATGACTAAGGAACATCCTCCTTGCTCATACTAAGGAACATACTCCTTGCTGTCTTCAGCAGTATCACTTCGCTGCAGCCTGCCCAAGTTATAAAAAAATACAAGCAAATATCTTCAGTTATCTACTCATAGGCTAGAGTGAGTTAGGTGTCCTGTTAATGAAAACATTTTGTTTTATCGTGGTCTTTCACGATCTTCAGAACTCTGCAACCCATCTTCACGATGGGTAAAACACACCCGAAGTCAGGAGTTCCTTGCGACTTGCCAAAGGCAAACAGCCTTGGTTTGATCTCTGGTCTCTCCCTCGACTTACAAAGGTCTGTAAGATCGAAGTACATTCTGTGGCTCCTCCTCCAGCCTATCATCCTTTGTCCTACTTTCCGCCTCTCATATTCTACTTCAATACACTGCCCCACTGGTCCTGCAGTTCCTTCAGCTGGATAATCATGCTCTTACCGCAGGGCCTTCCGCCTGGAACACTCTTCCACCGGCGGGCCTCATCTCACTCCTTCGCCTAATATCTGTTCAAATGTCCCTGCGCCAGTCAGCTTCTCTAGCCGTATTTCTGATTCTCCTTCGTCTCTATCCCTTTGCCTCATATTTCTTCTTAGTTTTACTGTCTGACATATTTACTGTTTTTCAGTATTCACTAAATTCCATGAGACAAAGGAATTGTTTTGTTTACTGTATTCTCAGCACCCAGTACAAAACCCAGTATGGTATTTGACATTTGGGAGCACAGTAGATATTTATTGAATTGATGGATGGATGGATGGATGAATGGGTGGGTGGGTGGATGGATGGCAGTATTTAAACTCAGATTAGAAGCCAGGCGTGTTGGCGCACGCCTGTAATCCCAGCACTAGGGAGGCTGAGGCAGGAGGATCGTTGTGAGTTCGAGACCAGCCTGGGCTACAAAATGAGCTCAAGGCCAGCCTGAACTGCATAGTGAGACCCCGTCTCAAAAAAGACTAAATAAATAAACAGGTTAGAGCAGGGCATGTTTATAATACTAGCACTTGGGAAGTTGAAGCAGGAGAATGTGGAGCTCAAGGCCGTCGCAGGCTATAAGCAGCAAGACCCTGTCTCAAAAAGCAAACAAACCTCAAGTTAGGATGGTTCCAATTCCTACGGCATTTTTTACTGCAGCCAAGAAACTATGAAGCCAGATCTACTGGCTACCAAACCACCCCCTCTTTAAAATTATGAGGTTGGATGGCTTAGAAAAAAATGCCAAGAATTCCAGTTCCCTCCCCTGGGTAACATCAGAGACTGCAAGCATCTAGGAGGCAATGGTGCAAAATGAAAAAACAGCAGATCACAATAAAGCACTCCTTAGGGTACCAGGCACTGATCATCTCGCTACTGGCTGAAATTCAGAGGCAATGACAAGATTAAGAGCATGCATCCTAGAGCTAGACTAAATATAAACCTCTGTCCCTCCACTCCACTGTGCTTTAACTCTGGGAAAAGTATCTAAGTACCTAACTTCCCTGCCTCAGCCTCCTCATCTGCACAATGCGGACAGCAGTACATACCTCAACCAGTTTTGTGAAGGTTAATTAGCTACTGTGCTGTACTATGTATTATGTTTGCAACCCAATCAGCGCTATGTAAATGTTATTTTCAATCATAAGTTTTCTACTCACTTGTTCAGAAAGTTCTGTTTTACGCTTCTAGAAAAGCCCCCAGACTACTCTGCAGCAGGGTGAGCAACAACGAACAGCTTAAAGAGCATGACGGCAGGCTAAAAGAAAAATGTGCTTCACAGCCCCACACACCCAGAGCTCCAGGAGTCATGGAAATCTGTCAGGTAACAAAAGCCCCGGTGCCCTAGCTTTGTTGGTTAATGCCATCAAGCTAGAAAACACCCAAACCAAGGACAGCTCTTTCTTTCAGAAGACAACAGAAATCAATTTGGCAGTAAACTCCAGATCACTTAAAAGATCACCTGGGCCTGCAGCAAACTTCACAACTACTTATCACAGACTTACTTACCGAATTTGTTGTTACAATACAACCCCTAGGTAAGTTACTATAGTGGTGCCAGTTCACCCATAACTGCAATTCTCCTCCAGCCTTAAAAAAGACTAAGTAGGGTCTAAGGAAGGCAAAGGTCAGATGGTAGCTGTTCAGGAAGCGCCAGTGAAGGACAGAAATAGAACTTCTATGTTGTTGAAATAGAATTGCAAAGGAAAGTGACAGAAACACTAACATTACCATGTGAATCACACTGGCTAGGCATGGTGTCTGAGGCCTGTAACCCCAGCCTTTGGGAGGCTAAACCAGGAGGATTTTGAGTTGAAGACTAGTCTGGGCAATTTATTAAGACCCTGTCTCAAAATAAAAAGGGCAGGGGATATAGCTCAATGGAAGGTCCCAGGTCCAATCCCCAGTGCCACAAAAATGTCACAACACTAGACCACACTCCAACATATACATGGACCAGCTTAGAATGCACAAACGGCAAACAGGCCGTTTGTTTTGAGTAAAAGTCAAAGAATAGGAAGAAAAGACATAAGACTAAGGACAGGCACTGCAAATAGCCACGGATGAAACCCAAAAGTCAGATTTCATGTTCCAGGCACAGTTTGTACATCAGCCGTGCAGTTATGGCCGCACAGCGAGGTGATTTTAAGTCAGTGATATCCTTAGTTTCTTGAGCAACTGAAAAGTTGTTCAGTACAAAACTGGGTTTCATGCTCATTACCCCTTTTAATTTTCCCAACAACTCTAAAGTTATTCTTTCTTTCTTTTATTTTGTCAGTGTTGAAGTTCTGTTTGGTTTGGTTTGTTGAGACAGGGTCTCACTATGTAATTCAGGCTGGCTTTGAACTCTATATATAGCCTAGGCTGGCCTCGAAGTGATCGCTCTGCCTCAGCCTCCTCAGTGCTGGGATCACGGGTATGCAGCAGCAGGCCAGGCTCAGTGTTGAAGATGGCACCAGGGCCTTATGCTAGAGAAGTGCTCCTCATCCCCCAGCCCTAGACAGGACAAGCTTGAAACTCAAGGAAGTGAATGAAAATCTGAAGCATAATTATTAAGATGACTTGGGAATATTAACTAAATCCTTAAATGAAAAATCAGACCCTAGATCTCAGGAAGAAAACAGCAATCTGCAATGATTACAACGAATGTGTACCTCATCTTAAATCCAGGAAAACAGATCCACATAATAAACCAGGTATAATTCACGTCCCAAAAGATCTTACTGTGCATACAACGGCAATAAATGGACAGTACGTATCACCTTTAATAGCAAGTCCCCTTGTAACTGAAATCAACCCATTTATGAAAAACCTAATTCATACACAATTTTTCAATCTCTGAATCTGAGAACACACAAATGCCAAATTTGCAATTTCCGAGATAATACTGTGAATATTTTAGCTTAGTCCTATGTTCGTAAGGAACAACACAGGAAATCTCTGTGGGGAAGAGGGAGGCTGTCGAAAGACAAAGGAAAAAGTGGAAATAAATACAAGTACAAGGGTGAAGACAAAGGCATTAAAAGAAGTAAGAAATAAAGTACAGCGGGTAGGAACAGATGCTGGTGGCATTACTCTCCATGTCACGCAGGACGTCTTTCCCAGCACATTCCGTTTTGCAGCAGTTGAAGTCATTATCATTTCAGCCTTCAAGCTGACAGGAAACAAAAGTTTAATCTCAGGCGCGGTGGACAGGCCTGTAATCACAGCTCTGGGAGGCTGAGGCAAGAAGATTGCTGTGAGTTCAAGGCCAGCCTGATCTATATAGTGAAATCCTGTCTCAAAAAAAAACCAAAAAAAAAAAAAAAAAAAAAAAAAAAAAAGATTGAACACTGCAGCTTCATTCAGCCCTGCATGGGGATCTGCAAATAGTTCCAATCTCTGTACCCATCCTCAGACTACTTGGGGACACCAATGGTTTTGAGAGCACTCTTCGTCACACACGCATCAGAAATGGTCGGCTCCAGGACCCCAAGCTGTCTCCACTTGCCAAGTCCCCTGAATACCTAAAGCTCCCTGGGGAGACCACGCTGTGCTGCTCCAACAAACCCAGTGCCCAACTGCAAGACTTTCAGGAATCAGAGTATCTGCCCTGATGTGGACTTTGCTTTCTCAGGTTTTTGTTGTCTTCTATTTGATGTCATCATTTTCCAGTCAATACTGTAATAACATGTCCATTCCTCTTCCCTTTAAATGGCTCTTTAAATAAATCATTTATGTGGGCAAACATTCTTATTGGGCCATAATTCTGGACAAACAATCTTATTGCTTAACAGCCGCAATTTATTCAGTGACTAATACTCAATCCTTAGAGCTCTGTAACTAGCCCTCCCCATTTTTACTTCCCAGTAACACCCTTTTAGCTATCAAGTCTTTATACGTATTTTTCTACATGGAGCCTATTATACTTCAAGGGGACAGTACAGACAACAATAAATCTCAGAAAGACCAAAGACCTAACCATCCTGCTTTTCATATACTCTCAAACAGGAACATTAAATCCTTTTTTTCTTGAGATAGGGTTTTTCAGGCTGGCCTTGAACTCACTATGTAGTCCAAGCTGGCTTCAAACTCATAGCAATCCTCCCACCTCAGCCTGCAGAATGCTGGGATTACAGGCGTGTGCTATCATGCTCTGTAAACTATTTACTTTAAATACCGTCATATTGTTAAAAACATAAAATCCAGTAAACTTTACTTCTAGGAACATATCTTAAGAGATATGTGCAAAAAACTCACTAAGACACATGTTCAAGGGCCAGGGATATAGCTCAGTGATACAACGCCTGCCTGGCAAGTGAAACGTCTTGAGTTTGATTCCTGGTACCAAAAAAAAAAAGGTATATCCATAGGAATGATATATTTTTAAATATGCAGAATTATAAATTCTAATATAGGAACATGTTCAAGATATGTTAAATACAAAAATCAAATTGCAGATTATTACTATAATATGACCACAGGTGAGTATCTGTACGGGGGCCATTTGAATTTATAACTAACAATAAAAAGCTAATTTAAAATTTTCATTTAATTGAAAAAATCAATACCATGTAATTTTGTAAAGCAAATCAAGCAGTTGTTTTATCACTGTACAAATTCTTATATAGCACTGACATAACTATATTAATAAATACTAATAACTATTACATATATTCGCATATAATGAAAAATTATTATTATTATTATTATTGGTGGTGGTGTTATTATTATTAGAAACTTAAAAAAGCCTAAAAGCCTAAGATATACTAGGAGGCCAGACTGGACTACCCACTGAGTTCAAAGCCAGTCTAAACTACAGCAAGATCCTGTCTCAAAAAGCAAACAGTAACAAAACTAACCAAACAACCCCCTAAGAATGTTATATAAATTCATCCCCACGAATGTGAAGACTACTCTAACAAAACCCTGATTCAAGTAGAATTAATATGTGTAATTTAGAGTCAATATATTAATCGAATTCTATGCATCATGTGCAGTACCCAAGGAGCATAAATTCACAGATTTGGAAGAGATGTTAAAAATCACCTAGTCCAACCCTCTATCCTAACACCCAGAAAAAACGGATGAAAAAAATCATAACCAAGAACAGCCTGAGAGGGAGAGCAACAAAGAGTCCTGACAGCCAGTCCTAGGACTATAATAGTCCTAGCTAGAAATGTCTTCCCAAAATGGAAACATCTGGTATAATCACTAAAAAAAATTTTGTGCTAATATGTCAAATTCCTCAGGTCAGTTTTAAATAAGCCATTGACTTAATTTGCTGGTTTCAAGGTTTTCAATTCGTTTCAAGCCAAGAGAAATTAGACCATGTTGCAGTTGATTTTAATGAACAAAAATTTCTATATTAAAAAAGTTCAAACTTTGTCAAATGCTTTACACACACACTCACACACAATCCAAATGCAATACAGAATCTTTTAACATGATCTTTGTTCACCCCAACATCATCTGTAAAGAGATTTCTGGATAAAACTACATGTGAAAAAGGTTCATGATGCCACACACTTACACACGTGTACACAGACACTCACACAACCATTCTCAAGGAGGACACAAAAACACATGGTAAGATTGTGAATGGGACAGAAATACGTTTCTTGTAAAGCTTATATAAAACAACCACATGAGTAAAAGAACTTCCTAAACCAAAAGAGGATGCAGAGCGGGAAAAGTAGGGATTGGCTTAACTCACTTATAAATAAAGAGTTTGAGAATGTCACTCAAGATCAATGACTTCTGTGAGCTACGGATCATCCTGAGTTTTCATCACCTCAATTCTGTGATTCTGGTAACTGAGGACACTTAAAAAGCATTTCATTTTTCTGCAGATCTGGACTTGTCATTGTTCTTTGGGTGTGGCTTATCTCCTTCCACGGTTCATTCCTCAGTTCCCCAGCAAAGCCACAGTAAGAATGATGGTGAGCACAGGACAGCAAGGGTCGCACTGGCGGCAGTGGGTGGTGAATAACAATGGCCAGGGAGTCTGGACTTGAATCTCCACATCACTATTTGCTAGCTGCCTGTTATCTAGCAAGCTACTTCGCCACTTCTTCTCTCTGTTTCCTCATCATCACTTAGGGACCCTACTTCATATAGGGTTATTAAGATGATGTAAGAGTATGACCCGCTTGGAGACCTATCACCGCCTGGCTCCAACATTAGCCAAAATGACCATTAGTTGTAGTGTTACAAGGGAACCAAAAGAAAAACTCTATCTGTATTTCTCCTCATCCATGAAGTTTTCAGGGACCAACTGTGGCATAAAAAGCACAGATGACAGTATGTTTGATGCAAAAGAGATTAAGGACCCAGTCTTATGAATATAGATGTTCATTTTTATATTAGAAAAAATTATATGGCTCCATATCACAAAACTTAACATCTTTCTATTAAACATCACACAATTCCCATCATCATTATCGCCTACATAATCCTAAATGACGTGGAGTACCTATCGATATTGGACAACAGGGCCAGAATTTCAACTAAAAGATAACCTCAGAATTCCACACAGGGCAGTAATCTGTGTGCTAAGAAGAGCTTGGGGCAACAACACACAGGGCTGGGATTCTGCATCCAGGGCTAAATCCCCCACACAGTCAGATGAGGCAGGTTCCTGCAGACCTTCAAACCAACTCTCCACTCATGTCCCTTCAAGGGGGCAGTTTTCAAGAGGCGAAGGAAGCAGCAGCCATCGAGAGTGAGATGCCCCGCTCCTACTTCAGTATAACATGATAGCTGTCATTGGTTTCTGCTGTTAAAAAGAGAGAGAGAGAAAAAGTCTTTAATTACCTTTAAAACACAGTAGCAGAAAAAAAATCTGTGGTAGGGTTCTTGTAAGGGAACAAAGCCAGAGCAGGAAAAGAGCGGCACACTCGTTGCTGTATTTAGCACAGAACACTTGTGCAGATGGCCCCCACTCTGGAGGGTGCCATTTTCGATTTTTTGACTTCACAATGATCCAAATGTGGTATGTCTCCAGTAGAAACTATAGTTTGAATTTTGATCTGTTCAATAATGTGATGAAGGGGCTGGGGATTTAGCTCAGCGGCACAGTGCCTGCCTGACAAGTGCAAGGTCGTGAGTTCGATTCCTGGTACCGGAAAAAAAAAAAAAAATGTGATGAAGCCGGGTGTGGTGGCACCTGCCTATAATCCCAGCACTCGGAGAGGCTGAGGCACGAGGATCGTTGCACGTTCGAGGCCAGCCTGGGCTACAAAGTGAGCTAAAGGCCAGCCTGAATTGCATATCGAGACCCTGTCTCAAAAAAAAAAAAGTGATGTGATACTCTCTTTTAATGCTAGGTAGTAGCAATTAGCCATAAGATCACCAGGGCAAATAACTGACATTCTACAATGTACTGTGTTGCCAAGGTACAATGGCTAATAGGTTAGGTGTATTAAATGCATCTTCAACGTCCAGTATCTTCCACTTAATGAGTTTATTAGGATATGACCCCAGCGTAAGTCAAGGGACATCTGTAATATGCACTAGAAAGACAACATACCCTGATTCTGCATCTATCCACAGAAGATGGGGGAGACGGTAGAGTTATCAAGTGTACTTTGTCTACTCTGATGCTGGCAAGAAGCCACCTCACACAAGGCACAGTCTCTAGCAATGCTATTTTCTCTGTTTAACACATGGTTTCCTCCCTTTCCCACTCACAGAGGTAAAACATGAAAAAAGCTTTTTTGGGCGGGGGGCAACACTGGGGACTGAACCTAGGACTGGGTACATGCTAACCACATACTCTACCGCTGAGCTACACTCCAGACTGTAAAGAGCCACTAAAGTCCTTAGGAAAATGTTACTGTCTTACTGTGGTATTACCTTTCATCGTGTCCAGAATAAAGCAGGCTTCTTCCTGAAAGTTCTGTATCATCTGAAAAAAGCAAGAAAATTTGCTGATTATTAAAAACGTTGGTTTGCTTCATTTATTTTGACTATGTGGCTTTTCACGACATGAGATTTAGGTGAAATATAACCATTCTTTATTTCTATGTTCCTAAGGACCATCCCACACCCAGAGGCATTTTTATGAGGAGTTTTATAGGTCACAAATAAGAGTACTTCATGAATTTCTATGGAACTGTGTAAGTATTTTCCTCCCAATTTTGAAAAGCACGCTTCATAAACTTGTTTGGTATTTGTCGGTTTTGAGATTTTCTTTCCCATGTTTGATGTTTGTCTACAACAATGGTCTTTAAAGTACAGTATGCACTTCTCTGGGATAACACCGAACACCAAGGCTTTCCAAGGAGCACAAAGACAGCAATAGTCCCATATGGAAGAACCGAATTCTAGTTCTTCAACTTCCCTAGGCTGTATACTCCTTACCAAAAGTTCCTTAACTCTCCTGCCCCGTTTTCCCTTTCCAAGGTTCCACCTCCCAATTCACAAAATAAAAACATGAGTCTCACCCTTCTAGAATCCTACTAAGGTACCCCGCCTAGGGTAGAGCAGCCTCAGAGTGCTGCAGTGGAACTGCAAAGGTAAACTACAATAACTGGGAAACAAACCCCCACAGGAATCACCAGAATTGAAGAGTGACCTAATCACAGACTCTCAAATGACAGATGACTCAAAATATTTTTCAGTAACATCACTATGTAATTTTTAGCATGTAACTCAGAAGTTCAAAAAAATCCAGCGTCTTGTTGTAATAAGATTCTATCCATCTATCAACTTAGGTGAATCAGGTTCCACAGCACTTGTATCTAGAAGGAAAAACAGGATAAAACTGATGCTGAACTCTGGGTCCCTTCGGCACTTGGTAGGCAGTATTTACTGACAAAGGAATTAACTGTGTTCTAATTATATCAATTCCATCAACATCATTAGCAGTGGAATACCTGCTTTTTGTGGCAGTACTGAGGACTGAACCCAGGGTCTCATGCATGCTAGGCCCTCTACCACTGAGCTACAACTCTGGCCCTTTTAATTTTGAGATAGGGTCTTACTATATATTGCCCAGGATGGTCTCAAACACACTATCTGGTCTCCACCTCTTCAATTGGTAGGAATAACAGACATGCACCAATATTTCTGACTAATAAATTGTTTTCTTTTTCTCTTTTTGGTTACTGGGGATTGAACCCAGAGGCTTGTATGTGCCAAGCACATGCTATACCCCTGAGCTATATCCTAGCCTTTGTCTTAATGTTTAGTAACTACTTTATTTTTTAAAATCACTCTTATAATTATAATGTCTGGTCAGAAGAAGTAATTTTCAACTTTTATTGAGACAAAATTTTTGGCCAAAACAAACTTTTGTTTCAAAGGATGCCAGGCACGGTGGCACACTCCTGTAATCCCAGCACTCAGGAGGCTGAGGCAGGAGGATTGTTGCAAGCTCAAGACCAGCCTGAGCTACAAAGTGAGCTCAAGGCCAGCTGTACTGCACAGTAAGACCCTGTCTCAAAAAGACCCCCAAAAAAAGGAATATGGTGGGACAATCAGTAGAAGATGTTCAAGCATAAAAAGTTATGGTGGGGCTGGGGACTTAGCTCAATGGCACAGCACCTGCCTGGCAAGCACAAGGTCATGAGTTTGATTCCTGATACCGGAAGAAAAACAAACAAACAAAAAACCCCCAAAAAACCAAAAAGTTATGGTAAAAGTCAATGGGAAAGTGAATGGAAATAGGAATTGTAGAAAACATGACTAATATAAAAACCCTAATTCACAAATGAAGGCAGAGTAACATTTTATAAATGGATAATGCTTATATTAAATCACTCATAATTTCTATTCCCAGTACTGAAAGCAGGGGGTCACTCCTGTATTTAGGTTATAGGCAATACAATTAGAATAATAATGTAATGATTTCATTTTTAAATGTCATATATGTGCCTGAGAGTGGCATCTTTTGTGGTTTTGGTTTTGTAGTCCAGGCTGGCTGACCTTGCAGTGATCCTCCTGAGTGCTAGGATTATAGGCATGTGCCACCACGCTCGGCAAGAACAACATCATTTACAGTACCTCCACAGGAAAGCTATTCTTTTGAACTTTTATCTTTATTAGCACCTGTTTGCAGTACATACTGATTGCATTCATCATGGGGAGTTGGTACATTTACATGATTCGTGCTCTTCTTTCCATGTACAAAATATCTACCTCCAAATGGGAAATCTTTTGCAACTATTTCACCTTAGAACAAAAAATTTTCAGTCAACCTGAGATTTTACAAAGGGATACATACAGATTTTTAAAAATTAGTCTAGGAGAAAGCAGGCAAAAAGTCTGAGCCAAGCATGGCAGCACATGCCTACCACCTCAGCTGCTAGGCTGGTTAAGGCAAGACGATCATTTAGCCAGGAGTTCAGGACCGAACTGGGCAACAGAGTGAGACTCTGTCTCTTATTTAAATTTTTAAAAAAATAGAGTTTGCATCCCTTGGTCTAGAGAACAGACCCCACCTCAGAAGAACTGCACTTGCTCTTGTTTATGACCTGACAGATCAACTACCATCTCCTAATCCAGCTTCACTGAAAACCTACCTCATCACTGATGAGTACATGGATCCCTGTCGGGCCCTGCTTGTAAATCTGGCTGATCTGTCGAGGAGAAATGCTGAAAAGCTGAGCAATTTTTTCTGTCAACTCAACAGCTGTCAGTTCTTCCAGATAGATGGCATGGTACACTGCAACAGGGAGAGATCAACGGCAGTCAGTACAAAAGTTCTCTACTTTTTATTCGTTTGGGTGGGGGCGTGGGTACTGAGGATTGAACCCAGGGTCTTTACACTGAGCTGTATCCTCAGCTCTTTTTTCCTTTTTCTTTTGAAATGAAGTCTTGAAAGGAGCTAAATTGCCCAGGTTAGGTTTGAACTTTCAATTCTGCTTCAGCTTCCTGAGTACTGATTACAGGCTTGTGCCACCACACCAGGCTAAAAGTTCTCTACTTTTACAGGTAATCTGATTACTATGAATGCTCACTCTTCTGAAGGATTTAAAAACCACACTGCCCATTGCCAGGTGTGGCGGCACATGCCTGTAATCCCAGCACTTGGGAGACTGAGGCAGGAGGATTGCTACTAGTTCAAAGCCAGCATGAAATACATAGCTAAACCCTGTCTCAAAAAACAAAAACAAACAGATGAATGAAAAAAAAAAAAAGAAAAAAGAAAATCATACTGCCTGGGTTCATATCCTGGCTCAAGAACTTGCTAGATGTGTACCCAGGGCAAGTTACTTAATATCCCTAAGCCCCATTTTCCTCATCTAAATGTTGAGGGAAATGCATAATAAAATGCATAGCAAAGAGGAGATTATTAGTGGTAAACATTAAAGTGTGTGAAGTGTTGGGGATAGCACCAGGTAGTTATAAGAGCTCAGTAAACATAAGCAATCACTACTACCTCTAGTGACTGCTGAATCATGGGATAAATCCCCATCACACATGGTCATAGGTCATTTCTTCAACTTTCTTCACATTTGTCCTGGTCTGCCCAGAACAACCTACCGAAGAAAGTACCATTTGAGTCTCCATCCTCATGCTTCTGTTGTGGCTGCTGCTGCTGCTGCTCCCTCAACTGCACCGATTCCTGACAGACGTAAATGGTTAGCCTTGGGCGCACCATCCTGAGAGGGGAAGAAAAGGGCTGATAGTCTTATATTTTGTACGGTAAGCACAATTTAAGCGAACTCATTTTTCTACGTTAATAGTATACAGCAGGGGTTGAAAACAGGCAGTTCAGGGGTCAAATGCAATACATTTGTTATGTTTTCTCGCTGGTGTTTAAGTTACCTTAGTTCCAACAGGAGGCATCATATAATCTCTGAAATTTAGCTTTTTTGAAAATGCAGATCTAGCAATCCAGGGACCTCATTCTTACATGAAAAAATCCTATTCTCCTTATACTCATGTGTATTTTTCACCACACCCTAGACTAGGCTGTCATTCCTTTTCATTACTTATGTTGCCCCTGTAGTCACACAGGTTCAGGACCTTGGGTATACAAGTTAGAAATATGTATTCAAAATGTATGAATCACTGTTTTATGGGCCTGATTTAAGATGCATCTTTTACTTAAAAATGCCAACACAGTGAATCTTTTTTTTTTTTTTTTTTTTTTTTTTTTTTTTTGCTTTGCAGTGCTAGGGAATGAACCCAGGCCCTCACACTGCACATGCAAGGCGACCAATGAGCTGCATCCCCAGCTCTTTTTATTTTGAGACAGAGTCTTGCTAAATTGCCCAAGCTGGCCTTGAACTTGTGATCTTCCTGGCTCAATAGTTGGGATAACAGATGTGCACCACCATGCCCAGCTTAAACTGGGGATCTTTAGTTCCCTCCTTACTTCTAAGTAGCCTAAGCCCTCTTTGTGCTCCTCCTACTTCATAATCAAATGTTGATCTGAGCATCTTTTCCTTCCTATTTCTAAGCACTTTTGAGAAAATACACTTAAAATAAGAGCCACTTTTTCCCCAAATCACCAACACTTTCCTTAAATTTTTTCAAGATTACAGGCAAACTGACTCAATAGTCCCTGTAAGGAGCACAAACACAAGTCCGTCACAATTTGTTTTATCATTGAGGCACTGGTTTGGTTTTGTGCCACTGACCTGTACGTTTTTTTCCATCTACATCAGTCCTACCCATTTAAAATTGTGAATCTCAGCTTTTGTAAATAAGGAGGGAAAGAAGGGCTGAAGGGAGGGTAGGGGGATGGGGAAAAAAAAGAATCAAGGTATACCATGTACAGGTACAAATTCCCTATGATGAATATGATCATAATAGGTACCTAAAAAAAACTGTAAATCTCGGGGCTGAGGGTGTAACTCAGTGGAAAAGTACTTGCCTAGCATGCACAAGTCTGATCGTCCCCTGGGTCTGATCCCTTGTAACACACACACACACACACGGACTACAAAATACTTTCTTACCATATCACCTATGCAAGCAGACAGTTAAGTAATTCTCACCCAAGCTTAACGATGGCCTCTTGAGGCTTTTGCACCTGTTGTTCCTTCTGCCTCAGTGTTCTTCCCTCATATGAGACTCCAGCTTACTAAGCTTAAATATCATCATCAAAAAGATTTTTTAGTTTTATCTATGTACCTACCTATATCTGCCTGTCTGTCTGTACGTACGTATTCATCTATCGAAATATCTATCTATCTATCTATCTATCTGTCTATCTGTTGCAGTACTAGGGATTATACCCAGGTGCACTCTACTGCAGAGTTACATCTCCAGCCCTCTTTAATTCTTATTTCAAGACAGGGTCTCACTAAGTTGCCCATGCTGGCCTCAAACTTGCAATCCTCCTGCCCAAGCTTCTTAGTCGTTAGAGTAGCAGGAATGCGCCACCACATCCGGCTCAGAGAGTACTGTCTTGACCATGCTGCAGGTACTCTGTAGCCCACAGTGTTGTTTTTCCGGATTGTTTTCCTTCAAAGCCATTTTCACTGTCCAAAATACTTCTAACTCTATCTGTCTTTCTATCAGAAGATGAACTCCTTCAGCTGTCTGTTTTGCTCACTGATAAAGCTCTAAGCCCTACAAAAGAGCCTGGCTCCTGATAAGGACAATGAGTACTTATCAAAGGAAGAAACCACCAGGAAATGAAAAGAAAGGTAACATGGGGAATTCTTTGGAACAAATGCATGAAAGTACATTTTCCACGTTTGTATTTGGTTCATAAACTTGCCGTGCAGGGTATTGTGAAGAATCCCTGAATCCAAATCCACATGACATCCAACCCCATTGATATTTTGACACGAATTACATACCGGCCTTTTAATGCATTAAAAAGCCTGATTCCATCTGCAGGACCACAGATTTGGATCACATCATCTCTAGTGAGTTTCAGTAAGTCTGCCCCTGGAATAAATGTAAGAAAATAGGTGATAAAGGCAAAGACTCTCTTTGTTAAATTAGCCTCCACTGCAAGAACCGCTCATCACCAGTACATTACAATCCACAATCTTTTGCATGACGTAAGGCCTTTGGTGATCTGGCCCTTGCCTCCTCTCCTACGTCAATTTTCACCCGATGAACTTCTCCGCTAAGCATACACTTTCAGCATTTTGATGATGCCGAATGCTCAAGTTGTTCTTCCCCGCTGAAGTATCTTTCTACCATCTGACCAAGACTCTTCTCTTCATCTCTCAAATCTGACCTCATCACACATGTCCCCTGACACCAGCCTTGCCTAATCATCTCACTCCGCACACACTAATGGTGGAACGCTTACCTACTAGGCTGTTGTTTTGGCCTGATTTTTTTTTTTAACACTACATGATGAATGAGCTCTTTGAATACAAAATATGCCTTACGCATGTGTGTATTCCTACCATCGCTACAACATAAAAGATGACAAATAAAAGTGGATCATGTAAATAAAATACAATACAGTAATATCAAGCAAAAAATTTCAGAATACCTGCAAATGCCCCTTGATGAAATACTGTATTGAATATACATCTTAAAAGGTGTTATATAAAGTAAGTATTTTAGAATTAAAGTGAGTTGAAGTGTTTCTTAAGTATTCACAGCCCTGTTGCAGCTGGTGAAAAAGTCTGAAGGAGTCTATGAAATTCATTTTATCAGAAAAACTGAGTAAGCCAAAAAAGAAAACAAAAAAACAAAAAAAACAAAACAAAAGGGGCTGGGGATTTAGCTCAGTGGCACAGCGCCTGCCTGGCAAGCACAAGGTCATGAGTTCAATTCCTGGTACTGGAAAAAAAAAAAAAAGAAAAAGAAAAACCAACTAAGATATTTCCCTCTCTGTCTGTCTGTCTGTCTGTCTGTCTCTCTCTCTCTCTCTCTGTGACACATACACATACCACCAAAACCACCACATGTATACCTCGAGACCCTAGAATGCAAAAGGATATCCTATGCTTGGGTGAAAGGAAAGGCAAACTTTACCTGAGAAGTTGGTGAAAAGCCTTGTGAATGTAGAAAAACGGTTTCGATGCAACCACTGCTGAGCTTCCTGAGGTGTGGTTGTTGGCAAGAGGTTCTGAAACAAAAAATACCATTTTTACTGGAAATTTAATAGATGAATCTGTTACCTTCTCAGGTAACACACAGCTAATCGCTCACACACACATATCCACTCATTCTAACCCAGTTTATTTGGAAACTATTTATACCGTACCACATCGTTCTCTGTCTCTAACCGTGGGACAGGGCCACATAGCTCTACATTTATTCCACCCCTTTCACCTCCTCTAGGTTGTAAGTGCGAGGGGAGATGGGAAAAGCACTTAAGCCCACAAATTCAACAGCGAACTGGAGAATGATGAGATCCCATCTCAAAAGGAAAAACAACTATCCCCAAGTCTTGTATTACTTGCTTCGTATCACCAGTCCCTAGCACACTACTTGGTTCAGAGTAAAAATGCAATAAATGTCTGCTTTATGAATGAATTAATACTATTCCTCAAAGGCTGGACATTTCTATAGAATTACAGTCACCAAATATTAGCAGACACTGCAAGTAACTGACATCCAGCTTTAGACTTACGTCGGTGACTGGAGGGGGTGGCTCTGGCTGGTGGTTAGGCGAACCATTCCTAAAGAAAGTTACAATGAGAGGGTGAGTTCATGACACACATGAGGGTTCATTATTTCATTCCACATCTTCACAGTAAGTCTTAAGCCAGGGACTCAAAAGAATCTGTGTTCTGTCACAAAACATTTTGATTCTTTTGATTCAAATACTTCAGTTATGTGTTAATTTAACCTAAAGACTTCTGGGTAAGGAGGAGAAACCATGTCATGTGCAATATTTTTTTTTTATTACTGAGGAAACAGAAAAATATCAAAACTGAAACTAAGGAGATAAATTATGGCACAGAGACTATTTACAAGGGGCTGAGCACACAGCTCCGTGGTGCAGCACTTTCCTAGCATGTGCAAGGTACTCGGTTCAACAACTAGTACCACCAAAAAAAAAAAAAAAATAAAAGTAAGCAATTTTTAGAATGAAAGATCAAAATGTGAAAATACTACTGCTTTACTACAATATTAAATATATAGCTGGGCACAGTGGCACATGCCTATAATCCCAGCACTTGGGAGGCTGAGGCAGGAGGATCATTGCGAGTTCAAGACCAGCCTGGGCTACAAACTGAGCTCAAGGCCAGCTGGAACTGCATAGTGAGACCCTGTCTCAAAAAGACAGTGAATAAATGAATAAATAAATAAACAAACAAACAAACAGGAAAATTTAACCAGTGCTATCATTTTGATCACACTCTTTTATCATGAAAAATAACCTTCTTGTGTTGGTTTTGGTAGGAGTTGAACTCAGTGCCTCCACAATGAACTATCTTTCCAGGCTTTACACTGAACTATATGTCCAGGCTTTACATTGAACTATATGTCCAGGCCGTTTTTCCTACACTTTTTTTTTTTTAAATTTGTGGCTATTGATTATACAGACCTGGTCCTTTTCTATTTTTGAGACAAGGTCTCACTGAACTGCTGAAACTGAGCTCCAACTTGTAACCTCCTGTCTCAGCCTCCCGATACTCCAGGGTTACAGGCATGTACTGCCACACCAGCTGAAAACAATTATTTTTAAAGCACCTTCAAACATTACCACTACTTTGTGATGCAACTGCTATCTTTACACCCTTCATTTTCTTTGTACTTTCTTTTGTCTATGGCTTCTCCCTCTTTCCTAACGTTTACTTCCCATATGGGAAAAAAAAACTAAGCCTAATGATGAAGGACACGACAAACAGAAGAAAAAAATGTTTAAACTGAGAACTAAGACTATATAATATTTAAAATTGCTCAGAAGTACACTGCATCATCCTTGTAGATAGTAAGAGACTTTTTTCTTTCAGGAGATCTCTTTTTAGTCAGGTGCACTAGCACACCTTGATAGTTCCAGCTACTAGGGAGGCTGATGCAAGAGGATCTCTTAAATTCAGGAGCTTAAGGCCAGCCGGCACAACACAATAAGTCTCTACCTCAAACGGAAAAAAAAAACAAAACAAACAAGCAAAAAAAAAAAAACAAAACCAGCAGTGGGAAGGCTGAGGCTGGAGGATTGCTGTGAGTTTGAGACCAGCCTGGACTACAAAGAGAGCTCAAGACCAGTCTGAACTGCATAGCGAGTCTTTGTCTCGAAAAGACATTAAAAAGAAAAAAAAAAAGTTTTCTTTTTTAGCCTTAGCTGCAAAATTGAGATTTGGTATTAAAACATAGCAACTGATTTATCTCAAAGGCCTAGTAACTTACATTCCTCCTATAACTATTCTTAAGTGTCACACTTTTAATATTTTGCATGTTCTTAATTGTTACATTACAGATATTCCTCCTTTAATGACTGAATTCTGTTTCTGCAACCAGGCAATTGAATGAATTGCTTGCTAAACAAGGAGTTGTATACAGTATGTACACTACAATATTCAGAACAAAGAAATAGTCAAAGGAGACTCCAACATGATGACTTTGGCTTTATTTGTGTAACTCAAAGCTACAGTACTATACAATACAATCAGCAAAAATTACAGTGCTTTATAAACAAGGGGCACTATACAAAAAAATCTGTAATTAAATCCTTTAAGAAGTAGATCATAGGCACTGAAACCCCCCAAAAAATATGAGACTGGGGACAGGGTAGGGCAAGAGCAGTGATGGGATTGAAAATGACAACGTACGTCGGGTCAAGTACAAATCTGCCAAAATGAAAGCCATGAATCTGTACAGCCCATGTGCACTAATAAACTCGCATGGAAAAACAAGCAGCAGATCAAACATAGAGCCTAGATAAATCCAAAACCAAATACAACCAAACAACACCCTCCACATTCAGTGACCTATTTCCAGGTGTCAATATAGCTATGAGGGATTCGTGTTACACGTGAGGATTGTATGGGAGCTGTGTCAAAACCGAGGCGGGCATTTACACAAACCTTCAATTACCTTTGATAGTACAAGACACTAAGGTAAGATTAAATGCATCCCATAGAGAATTCTAAAACTTTATTTTAGCCATCCGCTTCGGTATTTTCTGCCCAATGATCAAAGGTCCATTATAATTACATGTTAGGAGCACTCTTCAGAAGTAACAAACAGATTTTGGCATCTATACAGCTGTGCTTCCCACTCCGGATGGCCGCTGTCTGATGCAAGTACGACCAGGAAGTGAGCTAACCACAAGATGGGCAGCAATAGGACAAATCAAGAAACCCAGATTATCAGTTTCTCAATCACTAAAAACTGATCATAAGTGTTCTGATACCCAGTACTACTTTCAGGACAGGGAGAGGAGACAGGAGGAGAAACAGCTACTTAAAACGCTTTCAGTCTCCTTTGAAGATAATCCAAACCTCAATTAATACAAAAATTCAAAGACTAACTAAATAGAAGTATTTATTGATTTAGAAAGATTCTGTTTATGGAAAAATAATGAAAGAATACATTTTTTTTTTTGGTACCGGCAATCAAACTCAGGACCTCAGGCTTGCCAGGCAGGCATCGTGCTGCTGAGCTATATCCCTGGCCCAAGGATACATATTTAGTATAAACACAAGCCAATTTCATTTCACAGACTTACCCTTCCCCAAGAGAAAAACTGCTATGGGAACTGTTGAAACCCGGTGATGGGGAATTGACATACGTGATCTCAGGCCATGGAGAACACTAAGAACAAAGGATAAGTTAAATAACAATTACATTTCAGCCTAATGAGCCACTAAAATACTGTTATAGGAATAGTACTTTCTTTTTTGGGTACTGGGAATTGAACTCAGGACCTCAAACTTGCTAGGCAGGCGCTGCAGCGCTGAGCAAAACCCCTGGCCCCATGAATAGTACATTTTGATTTGAATAGTAGAGCCTTCCATTACTGTATCACGGTTCACTTATTGCAGCTTCACTGTCTCGTGGGTTTTCTAAAAAAAATATCTATTCTGTATTGTGGAGTTTTTGCTATATTGTGGGATTTTGCGGTATATAGGTACTTACATAATATTTATTTTAATTATTTTTGCCTAAAAATTTAAAATATAAAAAATATAAAAATGTTAATTCAAACATAGCAAAATAATATTAACTCGAAATAAAATACAGTATGTATTTCATCAGTGGGTGAATACCGTACTGTACACAATGGAAGTTTGCCATTGCGCAAGTTTGCCAACGTGAGACTGTACATGGCACACTATTGGCTGATGGAATGGAAGATGACCAAGTACACTGTGCTCTGTATCGTGGGCGCTGATTGGCTCAGGGACTATAGCATCGGTCTGTTTGCTCTCCTGCACTGTGCCCATACGTTCAGCAGCTCTCCTTGCCCACTTCACATTGAGTACCCATACAGAATTTTACATGTTAAAAATTACGTAGGTTTAAGAGTGTAGAGTGTTTAAGAGCATATGAAGTGTTTATAAAAGTGTGGGAAAGGTTAGTAAGAGCATATGAAGTGTTTATCAGAGTGTGGGAAAGGTTTATAGGAGTGTGGGAAGGGTTTACAAAGCCTTAAAATATATATAAATAATAAAATAAATATAACACCGCTACTTTGCAGATTTTCACCTATCATGGGGGTCTCCGGAAAGTAACTCCGAGATAGGTGAGGGATCACTGTAAATCTTACTCAGAAGTCTCCATAAATAAAAGTAAATGTGGAATAGGCTAAAAGTGTCAGATTTTTCTTTTAAGAGTGAAATTAAGGATCTGGAGTATAATTCAGTGGTAGAGTAGTCGCCTAGTATGCATGGGTCCTGGGCTGGATTCCAAGCACCACACACACACTCACACACACCCCGCCACACACACACAATGAAAATTATGGACTAAAGCTGTCACCAAAATTATAGACTAAAATTTTACCTCTGTGAGTATGGTTGTCTCATAGGAAGGTTGGTATTTCTCCTTTTCATGAGGCGTTCGTTTTTCCATTTTCTCTCTATCTGTTTTTTGCTTTCTGTCTGCACCTTTGGGCTGAAAAGAAAAATATTTTGTTTTAAACTGAAGTGCTCACCCTTTCACCCCTTAAATATTCATAGAGAAAATAAACATAAATGCACACTGATAGGTAGACAAAATGCATCACCCCATCTCAGGCTGAAAATAGGAAAGTCGTATGACTGAAAAAGACAAATGCAAAGGTCTGTAAGCACATAGCTAAGTGAGAAAAATGCAAGACAAAGTCATAAAACAATTCATATAATATAATCCCATTCATATTTCAAAGAAAGGAAAAATGTACACACTGATGCACGGACATGTGTAAAAGCATAAAAAGAGACCCGAAGGATATGTGGCCCTCTCCGGGGTGAGGCTGGGGAATCAGAGTAAGAATGGTCATGGGGGATTTCAATTTCAAGTACTCTGGATACTTTCATATTATTCTAAGTCTTTCAAGGAGAATATATTTATTGGGGGCTGAGGATGTAGATTATTGGAAGTATTTCCCTAGCATACATAAGACCCTGGGTTTGATGCCCAGCACCAAAAATAAAAACAATTTATCCATATGTCAAAAATAAAGACCAAAATAAAGAAAGAATATGCAGCATAAACATAACCAAAATACTCATAATTTTTTGGAGCTTCAGAAGAGCTTATAACTTTAACAGGCTTCAGTGACAATCCATGGGTTGTGCTTCTTTTCCAGTTCCCATACCTATGCCAATCTCCCTACAAATTACTTTATTATCTTAGCAATTACTTAAAAACCAACTTAAAAACTAATTATTAATTACTTAAAAACTAAGTTGAAAACTCTTGGTTAGACTGAGTTTGCACAGCTTTCACAAAACAGACAAAATGACTTTCTAACTGGGCAAATGATGTTAAAATAGAAAGACATGGAAGGAGAGGCCCAAGGGCCACACACTGCCCACAAGTACCTTGAAGACTTTGATCTGGCAGCTGGCTGAGTGTAAGTGCTCGGTATAGTCCCCGTTTTCGTTTTCCTTGAAGGTATCGATTTGTACTCGGAACGGCACCCCCTTTTCTCCACCGTGTTTCCTCATAGTAAACTCTGTGCTAATGCAGTGAACCTGAAAGAACACAACACTGAGTACCTCTGGTTGGCTAAGTCAGTGAACAACATCTTTGGAGTGACTGCTACAGCAAAACCTCAGAACATAACACATTTTTTGCCATGAAGTGGTATAACCATGGGTGTGTCACACCCATGTTTATTCTTTAGAATCTATTGATGAATTATTAATTTTAACTTTATGAGTTTTATTATATTAAACAATGAGTGCTTAACAGGAAAAAATCACAGTATTAAAGTATTGCATTTTTAATATTTATTGAGTGTTATAAAAAGCATCAAAATTTTCAACACTGACTTGTTTTTGGTGTACAAAGTCTAAAAAAGAACAACAGGCAATTCTTACATGAACTACAATGAAAATATCAATAGCACTCTACAAAAAAAATAGTACTTGCTTGAATTATCACACCCAAGGTGGTCTTCACACATGAAAATAGCATGTTCCATACACTGAATTGCTTACACTGCCAGCACATGTATTTTGCTTACCTGGCCTTTTGCAAAGCATACTTGACATGTTTTGTCAAGTATGGTCTTGCTGTTTTGTCAGGAGGTTCTTATTATATTATGCAATGTGTAGTTAATAGGAACATAAAATGTCAATAAAATGAAGTATTAAACTCTTAATATGTACTACACATCTAGAAGAAACATCCACATTTTCACATCAGCTGTGTACTTATTCACAAAACCTAAAAGATAACTTCAGAAAAATTCCTAGAGTCTTCCAGAAAAATAGCAGAGTGGTGAGCAGAAGAGCAAGAGCCTCTTTCTGGAATATAGCAACATGAGGAAGAAAACAAGGAGGAAAGTGGGTCCCTGGGACCCAGGAAGGATCTAAAGTGAGAACTGAAGCCCACAGAGAGAGAGAAAAGAAAAACTTCAGTGAAGGAGGAGGAGGCAGGCAGCACTTTCCCCTTGAGCCTGGACTCACTGCATGGGAGGAGTGGCTTGAAACTGCAGATACACAGTAACTGCTGGTGACCAAAGAGGGTGGCGACCCCACAGGCAGCCGCGGAGAAGCACACAAGTGCAGTGGTGTGGTGGGTGCAGCAGGCTGCTATGGCTAATGAATTACCCCGATGGACATCCCGTTAGAGGGCGACTGACAGGCAGCCATCTTGCAGAGGGGCCAACTAAATCCAGGAACTTGAGAGGCTGCTGGCTCCACCTAGTGCCTCCCAACTGAGCCTGAGCCTGCAGGCGACACAGCAACTGCTGGGCAGATCTGGTTTAGTCTAGCAGGCAGAGGTCAATCCGAACTCCAGTGGAAATTCAAACGCATGCTCGCTGCGATTATTCTCTACCCCACCGTGGAGCTGCTGCTGGCTTGTGGGGATTGAACACTGGATCTGGACTGTACCCACACTGTCTACCAGTGGCAGGAGAGACACACCTTGACGCAAACATGTTTTTCTTTTTTTAAAATTTCCTTTCTCTCTTGTTTTGTTTTTGTTTTCTTCATTGTTCTTGTTTTTCTATGACTGTGAACATGGGTTCTAGCTTTTTGTTGTTGTTCGGTGCTGTTTTTGTTTTTATTTCTTCCTTTTCTCTTTTCCCCATCTTCTGCACCAGCTTCCCACAGATTGCAAGATCCTCCTTTGCCCTCCAGCCTTGCTCCTAGTCACTTTTCTTCTATTTTCCTATTTTTCCCCCAACCCCTTTTAAATTTTCTCCCCTGAGGGTAAGTAAAACTGCTAATTTACTGCATACGATTTACTGGTTCATTTTAGATTTTGTTATATAACCACAAATCTAGTTCATGTGGTTAAAGGTGGCAAATTATTAGTCATTTTTTAGGCTGTGCTTGATGCTATTGTTATTGCTGATTATACCACTTTAACAAAAGTGACATAATTGTTCTAACCAGTTGTTCCTGGTATACCAAGACTGAAATTGCCTAAGGGTCATAAAAGATTCTATAGGCCAGTGCCAAAGAAACAGGGGCTGGGCCAAGGAGGCAGCAACTTCTGATCACCAATAAATTGCAGGTTAGGATCATGCAACAGATGCAAAACCTAAAAGCCAGCTGCATCTAGAAGACACCTCTAAGAAGTAGTCATTTCCTAAGGGTTCTAAATACTAGCAATAAGGCTACTCACCGTAGTAAATTTATAAGCATCAACCCAGGATATAAAATTTAAAAAAAAAAAAAAAAAAGACACTTAAGATACAACCCCAGACTTCCAGTTCACCAAAAGCAAATCCAGGGGGCAATGAAATGGAATAATCCAAAAGACACCCACCTGGACTCTCTGAAATGGTAACAATGATGCAAATGAACAAGGCTCTCGAAAAAATCAAATCAGAAACAATTTCTCAGATAACTACAGAGATGGTGACCATAATGAAAGACGTGCTTAGTGACTCTAGAGCAGATACAGATAAAAAACCGAGGAGCTCAGGAAAATGACGGAAACCATGAATGCCCAACATAGAAAAGAAATGCAATCCATAAAACAGAGTAGAACAGATACCCAGGAGATTAAAAATTGCATTGAAAGTATATGCAGCAGAACGATGCAATGTGAGGACAAAGTCACAGATACAGAAGACAGGATTTCAGTTAATAATCAGGAAAAGAAAGATTTAAAAATAGCAAGGGACTATGAGAAATCAATCCAGCAACAGCTGGACAATGCAAAGAAGAATAACATAAGATTGACTGGAGTCAATGAAAATGCAGGAGATAGCACAAAGGATATAAAAAACTGTTCATAGATGTCATGGCAAAAAACTTCCCTGGCAGGGAAAAAGAATTTTACATACAGTTAGTGAGGCATACAGAACTCCAATTAGCCATGATCAAAAAAAAATCTACCCAAGGATCAACTGAACAGATTAGAAGATGCAAAAACAACTCCAAACATACTTAACCACCTTATCTTTGACAAAAGTGCCAAACCCTTTTACTGGAAGAAAACTAGTCTCTCTAATAAGTGGTGCTGGAAAAACTAGCTTTCCACAGGCAGAAGATTAAAATTAGGCACACATCTTTCACCATGCACTAAATTAAAGTCAAAATGGATCTAAACATTAAAACAGAAACATTAAATCTGCTGGGAGATAGAATAGGTACAACTCTTGTAGACATCAGTACAGTACAAGATTTTATAAACAAAACCCCAACTGCACAGGAATTATCACAAAAAATCAACAACTGGGATCTCATCTTATTAAAAAGCTTTTGTATAGCAAAAGGAACCACCAACAGAGTGAAGAGACAATCCACAGTGTGGGAAAAAATTTTTGCCAGCTGTTCCTCAGACAGGACTAATACCTAGAATACACAAAGAACTCAAAAAATCAGGACTCCCCCCAATTTAAAGACCCAATCCAAAAATGGGCATCTGAGAGGAATACACACTTCACAGAAGAAAAAGGAAAAATACCAAACAAATATATGAAAAAAAATGTTCAACATTACTGGTCATTCAAATTACTGGTCATGCAAATTAAAACAATGCTAAGATTCCATTTCACCCCATAAAGAATAACTATTATTAAGAAATGAACCAATAAAAAATGCTGGTGGGGCTGTGGGGAAAAAAGGTACCCTTCTCCACTGTTGGTGTAAGTGCAGACTGGTACAACCACTGTGGAAATCAGTGTGGAGATTTCTCAAAAAACTAGGACTAGAGGTTCCATTTGACCCAGGTATTCCTCTTCTTGGTGTCTTCCTGAAAGAATTAAAAGCATCATACCACAGCGATATACGCACAACCATGTTTATAGCAGCACAGTTTCTAATAGCTAAATCTTGGAAACAGCCCAAATGCCCATTAACCGGTGAATGGATAAAGAAGATGTGGTTTTTTTATACAATAAAGTACTACTCTTCCACAAAGAAGGATAAGCTTGAGACATTTCTAGCTCAATGGATGCACTTTGAGGCCTATGACAGATTAACCAATGGTCAACTTGTAATATCTAGCTGAACTGAGTCAGCATGGTGCTGGGTGTGGAGAGCCCACCTGAGGATTGTTGTCAACAGCATAAAAGGAGAACTGGAGAGAGAGGAAGGTGGTATGCTGTTGATTCTCCTGCAGAAGCTTGTTGTGCTGGTTTTCCTAATATGAATTTAGCTGTTCTCATCATAGGAGGAGCTTATGTCCTTGCTATTGCTAAGGATGGCTGCAGTTTTTTTCAGGGGAGCTCTGGTCCTTACCTTGAGCATCACTTCCTGGCTCCAGGGCAGATCCCTCAGTCTGCTGGTACAGACCCTTCATCCCACTGGCACAGACTTTCTAGCTTCCACCACTGACCTTTGGGCCTTCCCAGTGCAGATCTTTGATACAGGCTTACGTGAGACATTGTCATGGGCTCTAGGCCTCCAGCTGGACTCGTGGAAAACATTGCCATGGGCCCTAGGTCTTCAGCTGGAGTCATGCAGGACACTGCTGTGGGATCCAGCTGGATTCTTTGGGTCTCCAGTGTGTGGACAGATCTCCTGCACACTTTTGCATTTGACTCTTTGGGTGAATATTATAAAATATCCTATAAATTATGTGTCCTGTATTATATCCTTTCCTTTGTAAACACTGACTACAACAAGCCCATACTCTTAAGTGAAATAAATCGGACATACATGTGTAAATACTGAATTGTTTCTCTGGTATGAGAAACTGAAAGTGTAAATAAGGACCAAATGTGTAAGAGATACTGAGAAATAGGAAGAAAATGTCCAAATAGGAAGGGGCATTAGGGATGGGGGAGTGGGAGCAGAAAAGGAAAAGAAAAAAATGAGAAAAGAAGGAAAAAATGGAAACAAAGCTTTTATAAATAAGGAGGTGAAGAGGGGTTGAAAGGAGGGCAGGGGAATGGAAAAAAAAAAGAATCAAGTTATGTCATGTACAGCTACAAATTCCCTATAGTGAAAGTAATCATAATGTACACCTGAAGTGCAACAGTGAATTTCATTAATTTAAAAAATAAATTCCTGTATGAACTACAATGAAAATACCAATAACACTCTGCCAAAAAAAATCTTTACTTCAGTTATCACAGCTAAATAAGAAAATGAATGTCAATAATATATCAAATGTGTAATGAGTACTTAGCATTGAGCCAGGTGTAGTGGTGCACACCTGTAATCCCAGCACTCAGAAGGCAGGAGGATCACTGTGAGTTCAAGGCCAGCCTCAGCTACAAAGTGAGCTCAAGGTCAGCCTGAACTGCATAGCGAGACGCTATCTCAAAAAGACAAAAAATAAAAAATAAAAGAATAGACATCAACATTTTCACACCAGCTGTTTACCTGCTTACAAAAGCTAAGTGATAATATCAGAAATAAAAACCTATATGAGCTACAATGTAAACACAAACAGAAGCCTGTGACAGATATAATCTTTGCATCAACTGTCACACCTTAGGCAGCCTTCACACGACAGCTCCGTGTTTCATGCACACATCTCACTTACACTGACAGCACATGTGCTTAGCATTCCTTTCCTATGTGGCAGGCGGGCCATTCTCGTCACCTCCCTTCCTGTTTTGTCAGGAGCTTCCCGCTACGTTGTACAACATGCACTTAGCGGGGAATTAAGATGTCAGTAAAATATTAAATGTATAACGAGTGCTTAGAATAAACGTCAATATTTTCACATCAGGGGTGTGCTTCCTTACAAAACCTAAGAGATAACATGAGAAAGAAAAACCTATGTCAATGACAATGAAAGTATCACTAGAATTCTACAACAAAAATAATCTTTGCTTCAATTGTCACACCCAAGGCAGTCTTCATACATGAAAATTGCATAAGTATCACTTACACTGATAGCACATATGTTTTGTTTTCTTGTACTTTCTTGTGGAGCACACTGAACATCTTCTTAGGTTTCCTGTTGTTGTAGTAGGTCTCTGTGATGCTGCACGTTTCTATTCACCTGTCAGCTCGCCAGTGTGGTCTATAATTTTTTGCATCATGCCCTGAGCAGAAACATTTTGATTTTCCTCTGCTGCAAATGATCTTAATAAGTTCTAGTCCCAGTCCTCTATGAAAGTTTCTCCATGGTTTGCACTTGTTATTTTCTTTGTAAACTATCAAACTATTTATGCCACACGTTTAGGATCAAGTAAAACACAACCTTGGCCAATGCTTTGTGTTTTGAGTGACATCACAGTTGCTGCATAACTCATCAACATCTACTCCATGTTTTGTTGTAGAAAGATTCCATTTCAGCCTTCTGTTTTGTCCAGTATTTCCTTATCAGTATTTCCATCATGGTGAAACGTTGTCATCAGCAGCACCAGTTTGTTTTTCTTTACCATATATGAGGCTAATGTAAATCTTTCTGAAATCCAAAGATTGTACTATAAAATTCTCTGCAACATTTTGAAACTGCAACATTTCATTTGGAATTTCTGCTTTGTTCCTGCATACAGTTCCTGCACTGCTCAACTTGTGCTGTTATCAAATGTAACATCAATTGGAAACCGGTGAACCACCTGCCAAATGTCACATTCCGATTAGTTTGGGAGACGGGAGCAACAAGTCTGGTCACAACATCATTTGATTTATTACTATATGAATAAGGACCTGGTGACTGAGTTCCAGGATAAATGTCTAAATTGAAAGAGTAGTAAGTCTTCACATCTACAAAAGTATAAACTTTTATGCCATATTTTGATCCATCGCTCTTCCACAAGTCTCTTATATTCCTGCAATTATGATGAGAAATCCCTGCTAAGCGCAACCTATGAATGCTTTCAGTGCAGCTACTGAGGTGCCATAGTAAATAATTTCCTTAATACAGCTGTTGGTCCATACAGAACGTTTAACTTGTATCTCAGCCTTTGTGTATTTCACAGCATCTTATAACATTTCATCTGTTACACTTTCCAACACTGAATGGCAGTGCTGGCATTCTGTGCAAAATGTTTCACCCCTGCCACGTCCCTCACTGTATTTTCAGACCTAGTTCTAATACTGGATTGTTTCATTTGGTTGCGTGACTATTTTGCAACATTTCAACCAGTCAAATATGTACTCACATTGTGTTTTCTTTGTCATCTGAATCAAGGAGGTCTGTATTCCCTGTGTCCGTATCAGTTGATTCTTGCTCCATTTCACTGTCACGGGAACTTTGGCTCACATGGCCAACGTCAAAGTCATCATCATGTTCATCATCATCATCCACCCACACCACTCTTCTGTTATGAAAACATGTATTTTTCCATAATGGATCATCTTCATTATCCACACATGAGCAATCTCATGATTTACTTTTGACCTCCTCTAAAACTTGCAAATGTGGTTTTTCATGTGCCACTGTACTGAATTGGGTTACCTCTACCAGAAAAATCAAAAGAAAACTTTTATTTTATTTTATTTTTTGGTATTTTTAGACAAGGTCTTGCTATGTAGTTCAGCCTGGCCTCGACCTCACAGCGATCCACCTGCATCAGTCTCCCAAGTGCTGGAATGATAAGCATGTGCCATCATGCTCAGCAAGAAAACTTTTTTTAAAACAAATCTTAGGGGCTGGGAATATAGCTCAGTGGCACAAGCACCTGCGCGGCAAGGTCAAGGTCCCGAGTTTGATTCCTGGTACCAAAAGTAATAAATACATAAACAAATCAAACAAATCTGAGAGTCCTGTGGGTGTATTATATACTCTGTAATGCTCAGGTAAACATATGTAAAAACTGTTCCATGGGGCATCATGTGGGTGTAAATCCTGCTTTGACACTTTTGCACAGGTGCACACACCTTGCCTTTCATTGTACCAAGTGAGTAAACACAAAGATTGCTTCCTGTATCCCTCAGGAAGAGGTACTGAGACACAGCCAGCTACTGTTACATTAAAGTAAAACTCCACAGTAGAAAAGTAAGGGAGGGGGGCTGGGGATTTAGCTCAGCGGCAAAAGCGCCTGCCTGGCAAGCGCAAGGTCGTGAGTTCGGTTCCCGGTACCGGAGAAAAACCAAAAAAA